GATGGTGGACGGAGCGGGTGCCATGGCGATAGGGTTGACGAGCGTGTGGACGGCGATTTTATGCCCCGTGGTCGCTACGTTTTGAAGCGGTTGAGACACGGGGGTAGGCGGGATGACAGTATTGCGTCTCGTGTACGCAGACGTCGTGTCCACATTGCGATCGACACGGGGGCACGTAACATGCGGCAGGACGCGGTTGCCGTGTCAGAGGACGAGATGGGAGATCCTTCCAACGAGACGCAGCGCGACCTGGTTCATACAGAGGAGCTAGCCTCGAACACTGATGTGATAGTGACGGAGGAGGATACAGGGTTCAGGATCACTCATCCCCGGTCGCCAGCGCCGGTTGTTGGCACTTAGGAGGAGACGGAGTTCGGAGGACCCGGTCCACTCCACCAGGCGCAGACTCGGTGCACTCCAGCAGGCGCCCCAGTCCACTCCACAGGAGCGGGTTTGGAGGACAGCGAGGCACGACGTGAGCCGCCTCCTCACACGAGTAACGGCGGTCTAGAGGAGGGAGAGGTTGCACCCACTCCCACTTGTGGAAAGGACGGGGAGGACRAACGTCCTCCGAYGGACCACCACGTCGGCCTCGACTGCCCGCCCGACAGTCTTCCGCCCACCGACGAGCTATTCACCATGGATTCCGCCTTGGCATCTCGGCCCGATATATCGCTACTGATATCTCTCACTTTGCCGGTTGTGGCACCACCGGAGCCTGCTAGACGAGATGACGCGCGTCGTGACAGAGGGTTCGACGAGTTCGGCGACGACACGATACTGCATCCTCCAGAGTCCGGCACTCCCGCCATTTTTCATGTCGGTGCACCGTGGGCGGTGGAGTAGGGGTTGGCGGAGGAGGTAGCACAGAACCGTCGTGGTGGACCTCACGTCGCAGCTCAACGTAGTCTGGAATGTTCACTAGAGCCAGCGTCTGGAGATTTTTTGGCGCAGGGGGGTTATGGTTCGCAGTTGTTATCGGACGGCTTATCATCAGTCCATCCACCAGAGGAGGGCCCGCAGCGAGAGCCACATCGAGGCCCAGCGGAGACTTTAGAGGCGAGGCCTCCCGGAGTTATCCGCTCGGACGGAGGCGAGGGCGTGAGCGAGGATACAGCGCAGCCAGGGAGCGCAGATGGTGGACGGTCCTTCAGGGGAGGCATCGAGCGCAGAGGGTTATCGACCGCACACCCCAGCATTGTCAGGCCCAGCACACAAGACGTTGGAGACGGGCACAAAGATGAGCCTCGACCGCATTTGACGGGGATGAGTGACATCATGTGTCCACCACCCTCACTCCCCTCTGCCGCTGATCCTGCCGCCCACGGGCAGGCCGAGCCGAGCGCATTGCCTACGAGGTCTTTCTACGACGGTGCGGGCATGGACCGGAGGGCGGGCGATATCGGACAGACATTGGCATATGGACCGGCAGATGTGCCCGCGGGGGTGCGATCGATCGGCAACTTCGATGGCACTTGTCATGATTCCATGAAAGTTTACGAGGAGCAGCATGGGAGGCCTATACTGGCCAATACGACCGATGTCAACGACACCAGGACGGCAACTGCGAGGCTGTCATGGGCGAGGAAGAAGGGAACAAGTGTGTCGATTCCGTATCACCGGCGTCGCGTGCATCCTTTTTTCCGCAACAGGGACGAGACCAGACAGATGCCAGCTGCTGCAGATGGACAGGGGGGGCGGAGGGAGGTGACAGAGTGGACGAAGCAGGTCGAGGTGAGAAGAGACGAGGCGGAACGATCATCCTCCACGACGACAGCTCCACAGCCGCTGAGGGCGGTAAGACCACAGGCGCCGACGATCCTGATGACTCCGATTACGTCCCGAGGATCCGTACGGCGGACGGAGATGACGGCGGAGGTCGTCGCGTGAGGATGAGGACTGGACCTGGCCCGGATGGTCATTGCACCCCATCGGCACATTTGTCGCCTATTGATCGATGGGCGCAAGCTCGTTCTCTGTTGCGCAGACTGAGGGAGCAAAGACAGGCACGAGGGACATCACTGCCACATCAGCAGCCGGGGGGGGATCCCGAAGACACGACGGAGAGAGAGAGAGAGAGAGAGAGAGAGAGAGAGAGAGAGAGAGAGAGAGAGAGAGAGAGAGAAAGAGAGAGAGACAGACAGAGACAGAGAGAGAGAGACTCTGTGTGTTTAGTGTTCACTGCTTTCTATCATTCTTCGTTTGGCAAAGGACCGACCAAGATACCTGCCTGTGTGGAAAATTCACGAGGTACATATCTGTAAATATAGAAATATGGGCCCAGTACCAACTTCATTTTCCCTACAGGCTACAGACTACTGCTACCCAAACTGCGAATAGCAGACCCGGGCTACCCCTAGGACAGAGAGGCCCCACGGGCCTATGCTGATAGTCGGGTAGGGTTAGGCCCTAGAGGCCAAAACTGGTTAGTCAATCTGGTCTAGGTCGGTGTAGGCTATATGTACATTATAGATAGGATGTGGACACGAGAGGTCTGGGCTATCAAAGGTCTGATGCGTTGGAGTACGTACTGCACTGCTGCGTCAGTGCTAACCCTCCTCAGGAGTTGGGTCCCAGGCTCCCGGACTCCCAGTGGCGATCCAGCCATAGCTGCATCTTCTCAGAGATTATCATTATCTGGACTTCATCTTCATCAGGTACTGTTGGCGGTGAGCTTCTACGTCATCATCTGAGTGGCGATCGCCGATTGGCTATGGGAGCCTATTTCAGT